AATCACAATGTAACAGTAATCATAGGAAGGCAACTCAGGATGATACCGTTGAGCCGACCAATTATTCTGAGCCTAGGAGAGGGGTGACATTCGTGTCGTCAATCGCAGCTAGGGGACAGGGGGGGGGGGGGGGGGGCATTTTGCACTTTGCTACTAACCAGAGAGATTTTCATGAGCTCACAAGGGTTGACAGGTTTTATCATGGTAGCTCGACGAGCCTACTCTAGCTTGACAATGAGTTCACAGGCTTTACCAGAGTGAATTCTGAAAACCGGAACTAGTGCAGCAGTGAAAGTGCAAAATGCCCCCCCCCCGTCGCCGAACAGCGCCGTGGCGTCACTCACAGCTGCGACTCATACCCCCCCCCTACGCGCGTAACTCCTATTTCACTGTTTTTGCTGAATACTGTTAATGCTGCGTTTTCTGGTCAACCATTTAGTTGACCTCCAAGTGTTTCGATCGTATTATTCTGATTTTATTAAGCCGACATTCAATAAAGAAGAGACGGTTCGCCTGGTTCGTGCCACGATGGTTGGTGAGGGCCTAAAAATCAACATGGGCAGATCAGCATCAGCAACGTCGTCAACCACGCAATTACCACGACCTTCTGGAGCACAACAGCGCTCATAACTCTTCAGAAAAACGCGTGAAGTGTCGAATATCTGCGCGTTCCTCCATTTTACGGGCGTTTTTTTTTTCGTAACGGGCGAGATTTCTCTGTTCTTTTGTTTTCGAAAGCATCTATATGTGAAGTACTGTACTGACATCTTGGAGAAGTCTGTTATCTTTGCATTTTTTCTATATATTTTTATATGTAAATGAAGAATTATTATATTTGCTGACACAACTGAAGAATGTGTTCTGCTCACATACTATCTGCCGTCTTTGATTTTTTAAGATAAGTGTTTTGAAAGGTTTTCAAGTGTAAGTCGTTTAAGGTACATTATTCAGCATGGTTTGCTGCGTAGTTTAGTTGAAGATGAGCGGTGCAGTGGCCGCAAGCTCTGCCGGCGATGACCTCCCAGGTCCATCAGGCTCGAGGAGCACAGATTTCATGGGAGTGGAACCACGAAAGAAGCCGACAAGTCACCAAACTGATGGACGTATGAGTCGAATTGAAGCCGTACATCGCACGCTTCATGGTCTTCATAATGAATGGGAACAAAGGAAGAGGTCTGTTGTATTTTTAATTCGTGTTCGGATAAAGTTCGGGAGGAGGGGGATCGCAGAAGCGCCTGTATTTCCCTGCCCATCCCCAGGAGGCTTGGCAAAGCACAAACCAGCATTGCAGTGAGGTCTCGCAGAGCAGGCATAATAGCAGGGCGCACACGCCTCCTCCATCCTTCCCCTTCCTCTCCCCCCCCCTCCCATCCTGCCCCGCGTAGGGGGAGTCCAGAAACAACTTGAACTCGGATCCTTTTAATAGCGCTAAGTTTATGTTTTCTTTGCGGTATGCGCTCTCGCATCCCAGCTTTTCACCCGCGATAGGGGGTCCCTCCACCCTAACTTCCCAGGTGTTTGTTGTACGTTCCGAAACCTTGCAGCCGCAGTCCTGTATTTTTCTGCGGTCTAGCCTCCCGTGCAAGGAACCCCGCGAAGTTCTAAGTTGTCAAGTAACTGAAAGTAACAAACGAAATGACAGGCACCAACACAGAGGCGCAGTCACTCGCGCTTGGAAGGAGAGTCTTGAGCAACTTGGTGTCCTTAATACCTGTATCTTACAGCTTTCTGGCGCGAAACTGGCACAGTGTTGTCCATTGTGACTCTACCTCTAAGTGTTGCGTGGGCCATTCAGTGTGCTTGGGCTGATCGATGGGGCAAGACGATGTTCGGGTCAAAGTTTAATCCACCCAGGCTGGTTTCATGCCAGTTCGCCGACAGCGTGAAGCTTTGGCTAATTCGGGCACCCGAAGTCTGGCGACTGCCATCTAACTGTAGGCCGCGGCCCTAGTTCCGCTCGATTGACGCCACTTATGCTTTTCCAGGCGCGGTTTTGCTGATACCCATCGTGCAGTGTCGATGCCTCCTGTGCAGATCTGTAAACTCTTGTATTGCAGTAATAGTTGTTGGTTTACAATTGGCAAGAGCCTATGGGCTTCACCAAGGAGAAACGAGCCCCCCTCCCTCCCCTACACCCTTTCATGGTATAGTTGTAGCTGGGATGCAATGAGAAGAACGGCGTTGATGCCATTCAAGCAGTTCATGATTTTCTGAGCCTTTTTTCTTCTAGGACGACACTTGAGATTGATTATACGAACCCGTCACTCCTTTGCTCATCGTCGTCTGACGCGGTCAGCTGCATTGAGTTAGGTGGTTTAGGGGAAAGACAACTTCTTACCGTAGGTTTCTTTCTTCTTTTTCTCTGTTTGTATCGCCGTCACACTTCGCGGTCCGATCGCTTGTACGGCGCCATCGGATTTCTCGAGCATTTGGATAGCGCGATTCAAGCGATCGGGTCGCGAAGTATGAACGCGCTCTTATGATTGTGTCGCTTTCCTACAGACAACCCTTGTCCAGGTTTTGCTGCCATGGATGCAAGTGACGGTTTGTTGTGGATTTGAATTCAGTCTGAACGGGTTGAAAACGGAACTATTTGCCAAACTGAAAAGGTTGGATCACATTATCTTCGAATAATTTCACGGTTTTCATAAGTTTTATTTAGGATGTCCGTATCGCAGTTTTCAATGAAAGCCAGTGACTATGTCTTCCAAGTGTTGCGGAAGTCGACGGGTGATATGGAGGAATTATATAATGAAGAGGTGATGGGTTTTCTCGTGAATTGGATGATTGTAGCTGATTTTTCCTTGCTGCTACTTTTATTCTTTGTTTTCTGATTCCTTTTTTTATTTTTTGTTTTATTAGTTGGTTCTCCGTTTTTTTTCTCATTGATTATGGCGTCGCGAATAGAGCAAAGCTTGTCACTAAGAAGTTGCTCATCCCCAAACATTGCTGTGCTTCCTCTGTATGAAAAATATTCGGGTCAGACATACCTGAAAGCAGCCGCGTTAAAAAAATGGTGATTCTTGCAGCTCAAATACTAAGGGCAAGTCGTTAAATAACAGAAAAGTCAAGGAAAAAAAGTGCCAAAAACCCCTTGAGATGCCCTACATAGAACCCCATGCTGAACCGCGTTTCTACGTGCATAAGGCGAAGGAAGGACGTAGTCGGAGGAGTTCTCACTTATTGGTGCCAGCTCTTTCTTCTCATCACCGCGCTATCAGGTAGCTGGTAAAAATGAAAGTTGGGCGTCGCCGGGACTAGTGGGCCATGCTGCGGGAGCCATGCTTTCCTCGCGAGCGCTTTCCCCACGTATCTTTGAGATGCTAAAGTAGTGCGCCCTCCATGCTTGCAGACAGGACTACATGTCCAACGAAGGCGTCTGCGTATCAAATGAGCGCGAGCATATTGTTCCATCAGACTTCAACTTTGGGTAAACCATCAAAAGTTCACTTTTTGGGACGCAAAAGGACCAGTGGATGGGTCAGCAATCAGGGGATTGGATGGGTCAGCATCAGGGGATTGGGTGCTGTATAGGCAGGAACTGCAACTGAAACACCTCCATTGTCACTGCAGCCCTGCGGCTATGTCGAAAGCAACATCGCACAGAGACAGAAGATTTGCTGCAGAACTCGGGCTTTTCAAAGCCATGAAAAGGAACCGCTTCACTTTTCGCAGTCGCCATCGCTTTTAGATGAGAGGGCGCAGACGAGTAGACGTGACGTTCAGACATGAGACATGATATGATGTAGACAGTAGACATGATGTAGCTGTGTCTGATCGCCGCCTTGTCCTCCCACCCCTCCCCTCTCCCCAACTAGTTTTTACCAAATATCTTATCATCCCTTATCTGAACTTTTCTGACTTTTTACGTTCATTTATCGCTCTTTGATCATTTCTCTCATCAAGCTCATCTTGAACTGCGCCATGAGATATCTCATTCAGACAATTTTGGCACAATTCGGCGACTAGGTGGTGTTGGGGGGGGGGTGGGATTTTACACTTGCTCTGCTTCCCAGAGTCATCAAGTCCCTGTCGAGCCATCAAGTTGAGATTCATCAAATCTAGTGGAATGAGACCAATCAAAGTTTGTAAAACTACTTGTCAACTCCTGTACTCCTGCGATGTGATCAGGGTACAGCATCGTGATGTGTGAGGTGGTGGTGCAGGTGCGACCCCCCCCCCCACTCCCCCCAGCATCTACCTACCAATTTCCCACATTTTCCAGTCTGCTTTTTCACCCAAAAATTTTCCGTCGAGGGGCAGGGTGGGGATATATAGTGCACATGAAACAGGAAAAATCACGCAAAAAGTCAACAACCGGAAAACCAACGCGAAAAATTTCTCTCAAAGGCACATACGACCCCCTCTCTCTCCCAACGACCAAATACGACCCCTCCCCAAAGAAAAGTAAGAGCCTCCCCTCCCCTATGTGTTTCACACAACGACGCTGTGCCCTGAATGTGATAAAAACATTGATGGGAGGCAGCGAGTGTGCAAAACGCACCCCTTTCCCCTCAAAGCCGAACTGCGCCACAACTTGTGGTGGCATCCAATTTTTTGAGTTTCTTTCACCTATTTTAAGTAAGTTCTCGTTCTTTGTGCTAATTGCATGAGTTTAGATGTTGCTGTCTAAGATAGATTTCACGAGACCATATCCAATGTTGTCACTTTTCGAACCGGAGAGCTTCCGACATGAACGGGATTTGGCGCATGTGATAGGTCAGTTACAGCTCAAACAACTTTCTTAAACAGATACGAGGCCGAGACCCCTTGGAAGCGTGCGGTTGCGGTGCGGTAAAACCAGGGGATTGATACTAAATGAACCGCTGCACGCATGTGTTTCCAAGACTAACCAACTTATATGCCTATGATTTTCGCTTAATTTTTCTGAGTTCTTCCCTCCGCACTGATAATTTTGACTTTTCAGGTCAAGCTCTTGGTTATTCGTTGGACGAACTTGAAACAGGGCTCACGGATGAGCTAAAAACCTGCCGTGCAGCGCTTTTCAAAGACACCGTTGAAGCCGTTAACAGTAGAGGTATTCGTTAAAATTCATAGTCCTACTTCTTTAAGAATGTGTGTCA